AAAATTAGTTAGAACCCAAAATATCCAATTTCGTCCTAGCATTAGATTTCTTATACAAAGAACATAACCACATGATCAAGCAAGCATGGAAAAAATAAATAAAAACCAAGCATTGCTAGCATAAGAAATCGGATTCAAGGAATCATGTCTAAGGTTTTTAATTGTCCAGATTTTAACAATACATGTTCATGCGGTCATAGCGCAAAACCTTCAGGTGACTACCGATTTACAGTGAGTAAAAAAAAATCTTAACAGCGTAGTTAATTTTACACAAAACAAGATGGATGATGTGGTCTGGTGGATACGTGTCGAGTTATGATTGAATCTGACTTTTGTCACAAGAGTGTTCACTGAGCCAAAGCCTCCTTTTCAACAGTGACTTGTCTAGTTGTATACGTTTTTATTTGTTCCAGTTTTTCCTTCGAAATTCTACGGTAGTAAATGCTTAATGTTGAATAAATCATTGTTTTCATTTCACACGGTAGTAAATGCTTAAAATTGTCTAGTTGTATACGTTTTTTATTCCAGCTTTTCCTTCGAAATTCTACGGTTGTAAATGCTTAAAATTGAATAAATCATTGTTTCATTTCACACGTTTTTTAATACCATTTCACCAAGTATGTGGGTATATACGTAGCTGATGTAAAGACAAAAAGAAAAATGTATTTAACAACTTAAGTCAAACTTGAACATCCGGTTAAACTAGCAACTCGTCAAGAACTGGAATAAGAGACTTCTCAAACGGATTTAGACTAGAAATGCCTCAACTCTTAACATGAACACACTGGACTGATTACATATATATATATAATAAGGTCATGAAGATGAAACAAGTATTTTTAAAGTCTTGAGCCAATTAATTCTATTGAAAGGAGTCAAGACTTTAAGCACTTGGGGCAAGGGAGACAACCTCTGCCTTGGCAATTATCGCACGCGGGTGATATCTTGTTTGCAGGGCCGACTTTGAGATTATGTGAGACTGTTGATATTTTTATGTAAAAAAAAGTTTTGAGGATCTAAAATTTTTTTTTGGAATCTATATTCATGTAATTTTTTTCAAAAATTTTAGGGGCCTAGAACGAATGTTTCACTTAGCAATATTCAGGGCCAGTTCTGCGTGTTTGGTGGCTCACCGAATCCAAAGATTCCTCCTGATTTGATCGTCCCCGTCCCTTTGCAGCAGGCCAGCAGCCACATGCCACACTCTGCATCTTTACATTTACTACACATCCCAAGGGATCTGCAAAAAGTTAACATAGGATGGTATGAAAACAGTTTCAAGAACAAGTCTAATTTCATTCAGTCATAAACACAGCAGCACTATATAACATCTCTTGGAGGCATCAGTGGCGTGTAATGAGCAGTCTTTAATGTTAATAATATCCTACACGAATATATGAGAATATATTCTACATACGTAAGTTAATATCTTGGCCTATTAGCTCAGTTGGTTAGAGCGTCGTGCTAATAACGCGAAGGTCACAGGTTCGATCCCTGTATAGGCCATCTTTTTTTCTGTTTCCCTCCTTTTTTAATTATTCTGCTTTGACCCCGTATGTTTTGATATAACAAACTTACATCCCAATAAAAAATAAAAAGTGAAATCTTCTCCTATGTTTTGTTTGTAGGGTTTTGAAACTCAAACTCGTACGGCCTCTCTCTCTCTCTGAAACTGTAACCAAAACAGAAGAAGCTTTAAGGTTTCTATCAATCATCACTCAAACTGTTGTTGTCTCACATCTTTCTTCTCATATTCAAAGCTTCAATCTTTTTTTATTTACTGATTCGTGTTTTTTTGTTAATTCAGGAGAAGAGAAGAATCTGAGATCACAGCAATGGAGATTGATCTAAATGATTATACTGTTATTAAGGAAGGTGAAGCTGAGATTCTCATGCACAAGAAGAACAAAGTCTTCTTCAATAAAGCTCAGGTTTTTTCATTTTTATTTTTATTTCTTGCCAATTGGATTTGATTTGCTGCAAAGGCTCTTCCTTTTTGTTAATAACTGATTAAATTACACAAAGGGTAGTCTTTGGACTAATCAAGTATTAGTTTTGGTGTATTTTCTCTTTATTAGTACTTTGAGCCAAAATGATGTGTGTTTTAGCATTTTAGAATGAGTTGGTTTTATGTTTTGTGGTTAGGTTAACAATAGGGACATGTCTATTGCTGTCCTAAGGGCGTATATATCAAAACGCAAGCAAGAGCATGAAGCCATGTTATCTAAAAGAGCTAGATCAACTGGTAAAATGCCTGAGAAGAATGTCTCTTCTGAAATCTCCAGAGAAGAGACTCCCATTGAAAACGGTGAAACCAACGAAGAACATGAAGAAACATCTCAGGATGGACCAAATGAAGCTGTGAAGACCACATATGAATCTGCACGAAGGGAACTCAAGCCACCAAGAGTGCTTGAGGTCTACTTACTTATGACTGTAGTAACTATACTTTGTTATCTTTATTCTGTTAGTTCACTTTTTTTCTTTCTTTTGTTGTTATTTGTAGGCACTGTCAGCTTCTGGATTAAGGGCTTTGAGATATGCTCGTGAAGTTGAAGGAATTGGTCAAGTTGTGGCTTTAGATAATGATCCAGGTATATGTTTTTTTCTCAACATTTTTTTTTGGCTTGTAAGGTGGTTTCAGAAACTCAAGACTTTCTTCTCTAATTATAGTATTTGTCCTTTTTTTCCTATTAAAGCATCGGTTGAAGCTTGCCAGAGAAACATAAAGTTCAATGGCTTGATGTCTACTTCAAAGGTGGAGTCTCATCTTACTGATGCTCGTGTCCATATGCTCACCAACCCAAAAGAGTTTGATGTGGTATGCATCCAGTTTTCTATGCTCATTTACTGTCTTATTCTGTTAACTAATCTGGTTAATGTCTTAGGTTGATCTTGATCCATATGGTGCGCCGTCTATCTTCCTAGATTCAGCTGTTCAATCAGTTGCAGATGGTGGCTTGCTGATGTGTACAGCTACTGACATGGCAGTGTTATGTGGTGCTAATGGCGAGGTTTGCTATTCCAAGTAAGATTCTATTTCACCCCTTACATTACCTTACACTAAAGACATATTATCTATGCTACTTTTGTCTGAACCTCTTAAACCTGTCTACTGTTGTTAGATATGGTTCCTATCCACTTAAAGGGAAGTATTGTCATGAGATGGCTCTGCGTATCCTCCTCGCCAGCATCGAGGTAATGCCTTCACTCACGCCAAAATCTTCCACCAGGCTGTGATTTTTGTAAAGATGTATAATGTTTTATAACGTTGATATTTTTCAGAGCCATGCAAACCGTTACAAGCGGTACATTGTACCTGTTCTATCAGTCCAAATGGATTTTTACGTCCGTGTCTTTGTCCGAGTCTACACGTAAGCTTTTTTTTTCTTCTTCTCACTTCTCTTAGCTAAGAGAGAAGTAAAGACTGAAACCTTTTTATGAAATGCAGTTCGGCGAGTGCAATGAAGAACACACCACTAAAGCTCTCATACGTCTATCAATGCATTGGTTGTGACTCTTTTCATCTTCAATCCGTTGGAAGATCCCTCCCTAGGGTTTCGTCTCTGTCTCTTTACATAGTTAAGCTTCTGAAAAAACCGCCTTTTTTGTTAATAATCACAATCCTCTTTTTATTGCAGAATAACAGTGTGAGGTATCAAGCAGGAGTTGGTCCTGTTGTTCCTCAAGACTGCACTCACTGTGGAAAAAAATATAACATGGGTGGACCTATATGGTCTGCTCCAATTCATGATCAAGAATGGGTGACTTCGGTTCTAAATGGTGTTAAATCCATGAAAGATAGATATCCTGCTTACGACAAAATTTGCTCTGTTCTTACAACAATCTCAGAGGCAAATAAAACTCTTCTTTCAAAGTTTCAGTTTGTTCTTTTTGTGTCAGTTTCTTTTAAATGACTATTTGTTTGTCTTTGTCTTCCAGGAGTTGCTAGATGTTCCACTCTTTTTGAGCCTTCATAGTCTCTCTGGAACGTTGAAATGTACTTCACCATCAGCTGCTATGTTTAGATCAGCAGTGATGAATGCAAAGTACCGTGTCTCGGGGTCTCATGTGAACCCTCTTGGGATTAAAACTGATGCTCCTATGGAGATTGTATGGGACATCATGCGTTGCTGGGTAAAGCCGTCTCTGTTCCTTTCGTTTTTCCTTCTTCTTCTTGAGTGGTAATGATTGAAAAACAATGTTGGTTGTGTAGGTGAAGAACCATCCTGTGAAAGCACAACCACCTGAACATCCAGGAAGTGTGATTCTATCTAAAGAACCATCTCTTCAGGTCCCTCTTTGTGATTGCCATTGTGTTCTAATGCTTTATTCTTTGAATAATCTTTAAACACTGTTTTTTTTTTTTGGTCTTGGACAGGCTGACTTCTCACGCCATGTTGGTTCATTAAGCAAAGCACAAGTGAAGAAAGTAGCTAGGTTTCTGCCAAATCCAGAGAAGCATTGGGGTCCGAAGATAAGAGCTGGTCGTCAGATCACAAGCAAACACGTCTCTCTTATTGGTCATGAAGCTGTTAATGATCATCTCAATGGCCACAAGGAAGCAGGAACAGAAGGAGGAGGAGGAGAAGAAGAGAAGGAAGATGATATCACTGAGGCTGAGCCAGACCTGAAACGCCAGAAGAAAACAGAGGATATTGCTTCAACATCATAAGGGGGCTAATTTGTTTACCCAAAGAATTTTAGATTTTTGTTTTGCAAAAGAATTTACCTTTTTTATTATTTTCAAACATTCGTCATATCATGTTCTACGTTTTTGAAAGTGAAATTATATCTCTTGTATTAGTTCTCTTTAGTAGTTTCATACTATTTTTTCTTTTAAGTATCAGTTCCATAAAGGACACAATCACTTAGCTGTGTTCTGTGAAGAACTAAGAAGAAATCACTAAAGCTTAAGCACTTTTGAAGTCTTGCAGCAAACGTCTATGAATTAACTGCAAACAAAAATAACAAAGAGTTAGCTATTTAGATTGAAATAGGCTGTTCAATAAACATGTCGTTGTAGTATAGTGGTAAGTATTCCCGCCTGTCACGCGGGTGACCCGGGTTCGATCCCCGGCAACGGCGTAAATTTTTATTTCTTTTTTTTTAACATGACACAATCTTGGCCCACAAATTTGTTATGATTTATAATTCGAAGCCCATTACGAATAAGATTGTAAAAAGAAAAGAAAACAAGTAAAGAGTCATTTTCAGAGTCTTCCTTCTCTATAGTGACTGTGAATATCTGAAGAGCCAAACTTGAAAAGCTTAGTGTCGTTTTTTTTTCCAGCTCTTTTTTTGATCAATAAAAATCCTTTTTCTGGCTCTTGGATACCCAAGTGGCTCAACACTAGTTACCGATAACTCGTACTAATTAAAACATGTAATGTCAACACACAAACTTCATGTATATGGTGAAGTATACAATTTTGACTAGAAAACAGATTGATTAGGCACCCATAATGTAACGTATAATTAATAAATGATTCATCTCATCGTCACTAATATGACAATATTGACACATGTATGCAGTGTACATGCATGTTTAATGTGCATGTGATCCTGCATGCACTTGATCATAGTCGGATATCAAACTTTGTGATTGTGTTAGGTGTTTAATTTTGTAAGAGATCCTTTTCTGGTCATAGTAAAATAATAGCACAATCATATATCTTTTATGATTATGACTCACGATATTGATACAATTTGGCAGTGATAGACTGATAGTGGATGCAAGCCCTTAATAAAAGTTAACTACAAGGACATCAGCACATTATTTTGGCCTTTATCCATATCATTCTATTAAATTTTAAGTAGAAGAAAAGTGGAATACGTACCTGTGATTAAACTAGAAATTATTTAACCAAAAGTGAGGATTTTTTTTTTTTGTGTGTTTGTAGTTTTCTTGTTAAGATAGTAATTATATAAACATAAAACATGGACCAGTTTACAGCAAATGAATCAGAGATCAATAAGAAGTTGGGCACCTATATATTTCTTCAAAAGTATTTGTGAATATTCTCCATTTGGCAAATTGGATAGAAGGATTTAAAGGTATGAACGAAATAATATTAAACTATAAATTGGATATATTGCTAAAAAGTTTTCATACAAATAAAGGATGTGGAATTATAAAGGAAACACTAAGAAAAAGTAAAAAAGGATAAAATAGGGGGGAAATTTTGAGGCTGTGGAAGAACAAACCGTGCAAAAGGACATGAAACTGAAGTAAAGAAGAAATAGACTTTGTCTCAATGATATGACTTGATGGTGTGTATTTTCCTTTTGTTTGACCAACACAGTCACACATCTCTTTCATTCAATAGTCATTAAGTTTTCCAAATTATGCAATTTGAGGGCTTAACTCAGTCGACAAAAGTTACTGTGTTGTAAATTTCACATAAATCCTTTTTCCAATTCATTATCAGTCGGTTTGAGATGAAAATCTGTAACTTCAGAGCTTATTAATCTCAATAACTACACTAATACATCTGTTCAACAAAAGCTGAAAATGTGGTTACCTCAAATGATAAGGAATATCACACTTAACAGTAATTAATACCTGAAATTAACTTTAAAAAAAAAGAGAGAAAGCAAGTTCTATTACTCTGTTAATATAACTTTATGTGAAGATCCACAAGTTCATCGTAACCAATATCAATATGCAAACATTTTAGTTTTTTCTTTTTTTGCTAAAAAGCGGGAATACTTACCACTATACTAGTGTTCAAAAAAGAAAAAAAAAAAATTACCACTATACTACAACGATTTGATCAAACATTTTAGTTAACATCGCCTTTTTTTACAAATGGATTATAACATATCCGTGCATGCCTACGTTTTTAGTTATTTAAAGAAAGATACCTTCTAAAAAAAAATAGTGACAAAGAGAGGACCAATGATTTGTTCAACTCCCCAGTTATTAAATAATTTTCGTAAAGATATTATCCATTGCGTTCATTGTTTACTTATATTTAGTATAAAGAATACCCTAAGGAAACTATAGGACAAACCCAAACGATTTCCTAAATTTTGATGACGTTATATTATAAAGTCAAACCTACAACCACAATCTTCTTATTCCGACCAGCAAGGGGATACGGATACCAACTCATTTAATTAACATAAGTTAGTGAGTTAAGTTAAGCAAAAATATTGGTCATAAACTGTACCTTTTTGTAAGTTTGTGTGGTTTTAATGGTTGTTGAGTCATCAGCTCCTCAAATGTGCTATAGCCTTTGCAATCAACATAATAAAACGACAAGCCAACTTTGCCTAACACATCTTGCCTTCGTAGTGCAACTAATAAGGAGTTTGTTAATTTAGTTTTTGTTGGTAGTGGTGTTTGACCCTATATGTGCATATAATATGAGAAGAGTTGGAGTAATAATAACGTTCTTGTGTTGACATGATCTTCTCTACATTACTTGATTCGATGAGATTTAATACGTAACGTTTGAAAAGAACAAACAATTACGGTGATTAAGTAATTATCTCAAACTGAAAGACCAGAATACGAGTCATCTTGTTACTATTTATTTATGATTTACAAATTTTTAAAATACTAAGATACTTAATTTTTCTACAACTTTCGACGAATATATTAGTATAGGATCTTGACTGGAATTCTCCAATTACTGAAAGGAAAATTCTAATTTAGTAGTTATAAGTTCAGCCAACCATTTTAACTTAGTTTGAGATATTTAAAATTTAACTTTTGTGTGATACTATAGTAGTTAACACCACATTGTTTTTTTAATCTAGGACCTCTATAAGTCTACTGAGAAACCGTATAGTAATTCATCCTTCCTATAGGAGAAGAAAATCTCAAATGTCCAAGAAAGAGATAAACTCTTATATTTTTAGAAAGAAAACAAGATGAGGAAAATTGGTGATTTGTAAAATAAAGAATATATATATAAACTTTAAAATTGACTTATTTGGCATCATTACCACTTTATATGTTGGCTAACAAAACCATTGTTTCTAAATTTAAGTAATTTTGAAACCAAACCCCACAGCTAGAAACTATAAACTTTTTATGTGATGCAAGCTCGCAACACTGATCCAAACTTGATTTTATCCACAATGGGTACAAGTACTCAGGTGTCATTATCATCATTATGCATGGCATGATATATAAATCTTTGTCAAATCAATCTTTCTTGAACATGATGACCATGCATCATGTATATGCACATGTTTGATGCCACTGGCACCCTCTCTTATACTCACATTTGTAAATATTACAACAACTTGCAACTTGGTTACTAAGCTAATCATATCATGATCGATGCACCACATCCATGTGTCACCGCTCATACAGTAATACACACCCATATATATAAGTTGTGTGTATGATAACATGCACTGATTATCAGGTTTTGATATTGGATCAGAAGGCATGCGTTTGCCATAGTACATTCATTTTTTGTGCATTAGCCGTTCGATGAATAAACAATTTACATGTAAATGTGATCAATTTATAAATTATAATACTACTTCAACCTGATTATTTAGTGTCCACTACACTTGTAGATTTATATGGCAGCCCTTAAAAGACCTAAACAAATAATATTCTTCACAATAACTTAAAGAAAGAAAACATGCCAATGGTCATGTAGAAGACATAATCTAACATATTTTCAAAAGCAAAATCCTTAAGAAAGTGTCACGAAAGCCACCAATTTGCAAAAAGTGTGGTCCACTTCTATGCCTTTCTATCTGTATAAACACCCCTTCTCAGCCAATCTCTACCATAACCTCACCTTCTTTGAGATATAACTAGAGAGAAATTGACCATGCATCCAAATTATGATAACTCAAGCCTAAACAACATGCAACAACAAGACTACTTCCACTTAAACCACTATTACAACAGCTTAAACCCTTTAACCAATAACAATCTCAATCTACTCTCATACCCTCAAATTCAAGAACTCAATAATCTACAATCTCCAGCAAGCCACAACTCCACCACGTCCGATGATGCAACTGAAGATGTATTTGTTATCAACGAGAGAAAGCAAAGACGTATGGTATCTAACAGAGAATCAGCAAGAAGGTCAAGAATGAGAAAGCAAAGACACTTAGATGAGCTTCTATCCCAAGTTGCTTGGCTTCGAAGCGAGAACCACCAGATTTTAGAAAAGCTTAACAAAGCCTCGGATAGCAATGATCTTGTTCTTCAAGAGAACTTGATTCTTAAAGAGGAAAACATGGAACTTCGTCAAGCTATCACATCTATGAAGAAGCTTGGAGGAGGAGAAGGAGGAAGCACAAGTTTCCATGGCAGATATTGTTCTTCTTCTTTGGATCATGACTTGGATCAAGACTTCTCTTGTACTACAAATGATCCAAGAACTCATCATCCATCTTGAGTTGTTTGTGTTCGAACTTTAAGTTTCAGCCCATATATTTCTAGCTAGGCTGAGCATAAACCGGATGTCTTATGTATGTATTTCACTGAGCTAGCACCGTTGAGAGATTTATTTTTAACGGTTTAACTACGCAATAAAGTTTGTGTAATCTTTGATGAATAGTGAATTTGAAGATTACTTCTATCTATTGTAGTTTGTATTAAAAAAAAAAAGATAACTGGAGATGGTGGCTATTTCTTCTTTCACGCGAAGATGATGGATGATGTATAATTGGTGATATAATTTTAAAGTTGTAATAAAAAAAAAGTACAAGGTAGTTATTATGTTCTACATGTATACGTGCATATGAAAAAAAAATTAACGAAGACACAAGTACCACCAACTCTTCTCACCCAAGACAGAGTAGCCTTGATAATTTTTGGAATATATATATAACTATGAGATGAAATTGGATTTCTGAAAATTTACGTATATTTAAAATAAAGAAAATGATCGATCATCTTCTATATGTACATTATTGCCTTTTATTTCATCGCTGAATGACTATATGAGTATGCTTTTCAATCTTCAATGAGTGATTTAGACCAATAAAATAATCTTTGATATGAGTTCACTAATCCTTTTCTCTCCAGAGAAATAAGATACAGTTTGATCATGTAACCTTTGTCAAAGGGTTGCAACTCAAAATATGGTTTAATAATGCAGGAAAATCACATGATAATATACAAAATGAGATAAAAAAAAACTCACGAAGTAGCTATATGATTAAACAAAAAGACTTGAAAAAGCCTAATATTAACGTTGAGATCAGACCGGAGACTTGTCAATCTCCTCCTCCTCATCGGGGAACATTCCGTTCAAGAGAAAGATACTGAGAAGCAGCAAGGCAGCTAAGAGAACATAAGCGAGCCAAACAGGTAACCGGTAACTTAAATACCCAACCAAACACAACATGAAATACGCGTAGACAACATGTTGTGCATAGACATATTTTAAAGGCCTAGTGAGTTGAAAAACGGCCAAATATCCAGCGAAAATCATAAAATTGCAGATACAAAACTCTATCATGCGAAAGTAGGAGCATGGAAAGCACATCATAATCATCATAACTCCGACGACGTAAGGAAAATAATGTAGTACGCCCAAGTTGTGAGTAGGTTTAGGTCTAGGTGTCGGAACAGGAACATAAAACGAGCTGACCACCTTAAATGCAATATAAAAGAACGTTGGTAGTGAGCATATTATTAAGCCGTTTGATTCGTCTTTTAACGTGGACCACGAAGAAGATAAAGACGTAGCCAGGATTGCGACAATTAACCTAGTTAGCCAACCTAGGCATACTAACGTGCCTATCACTCGATATAACCATCGCGTTTTTGAGCAATTGACTCCTTTGATGATTATTGTTTCGTAACTCATGTTTTGTAGCTATCGTTGTGATGTTAAAAGAACTTTCTTTCCTCTGTAATCCCTTTTATAAATACTTTCATGACGAAAAAGTCTATTAGGATTAGGAAACATTTACCCTAAAGTCCTAAACGTACTATGAAAACATGTTTGATGTTGCCAACGCGCGAGGGCGAGACTACGTAATTTAGGTCCGTCTATTATTGATGGGCTTATAAGTGCTTTGTTTCTAAAATGGCTTAATAGGCCCAATAAATAAAACCAATACAACATAGACTGAGATTCAGGGTGAAAAACTGATTTCAAAAGAGGATTCCAGTTTCATGAAAACTAATAAGTATATACAGCTTGCAATATAGTCTTTATTTTTCCATTGGAGCAAGTCAGAAGGAAGAAACAAGGCCTTTTCCTCTGTCAAACAGCACTGAGTTGAACCCTTGTTCATCATCAACATCGGTTTCACTCATCGTTGCAAATTTTTCTATTAATCCGTTGTTAATTACTAGCCTAGGATCGGCCTTAGGTCATGATAAATGAAATATTTACCATGTATTCTAAAATTTTGAAAAAATCATATGAGTATAGACTTTCAAATTTTTTTTATTTCCCAAATTTGTAAAAAAAAATTACATAGAAATAACCACATGCCTCTAAAATCTCAGGATCGGCCCTGCATATGTATTCGTTCAAAGCATACCTTATTGTCCTCTTAAACTTCCTTATCTTCCTCTTAAAACCCTTGCTTCTCTGTCCCATTGAACATAGGCATTGTCATATCCTGCTATCAACATTGACCATCAGTGATCAGACCATGTTTAAACTGTTGAGGTGTTTTCTCCAGAGCAACTAGTCTAATAACATTATGGATCGAAATTATAAAGCCCAATCTGTTAAAGGCCCATTAGAAATATGTAAACCGCGAGTTACAATCGAACCACCGGTTTAATCACCAACCGCTTCGGTTTACCTCTGCGATCGTTCCGCGAGTCCCGTGCCTACGTCACACCAAAGAGACGAAGAAGAAGAAGACGAAACATGGCGGGACTCCTAGCTTGGGCTGCCGACGTCGTCGGCAAAAACGGAAAAGACGGAGACGACGAGAAGGATCCGATCCCACTGGTTTTCACCGAGGAGCAGCAGAGATACGTCGACGAGCTTAGCCGTAAAGCGACAACGCTAAGCCGTTCGATCCAAGATCTACGGCTCAGATTACCTCCGCCGGATATCTCTCAGCGTCTACCTCACCTCCTCGCTCACTCCCTCGCCTCCAACGCCGCTCTCGCTCTTCAGCTCGATTCGCATTCCGCTACTCGTGAACAGGTCCGTTTTTTCCTGATTCGGAAGAATTCGATCGATTTTAGTTACGAGGATGTTGATTTCTGCTATGAATTGGAGATCGATGTTATAGTGATCCTCGTGGTTCTTCGTTTTGCGTTTTCGATTAGGCTCAAGTGAGAGAGCAGACGTTGTTGGAAGAGAATAGTGCGTATGAGAATGCGATATCAATCTGTGAGGAGAGGATAGAAGAGAAAACACATGAAGCTGATTCACTTCTTAGGAAGTTGAAGGTGTGTAAAAGCTGAACCAGATGATTAGATCTTGTTTAGATTTTTGGATGTGGTTTTTGATATCATTATGGTTTGTAGGAGCTAGAAGATGTTGAGGAGAGTTTGAAAGCTGAGCAAGAAGATGCACAAGCTTCTTTAGATGAGAGGTATTGTAAGAGCTCTAGTGAATCTCGTGTACTGCATGCAGATACAGAGGCTGTGAAGTCTGTTATGCTAGAGAAGTTGGAGAGCAAAAAGAACGATTTGGTTAGTTTTATTTTTTACATTTCATGGCTATAGGATTCTCTACGTTTCTATATCTGAATGTGGTGTGAGTTATTTTGTTCTCTTAGAGTTCAATGGAAGAGAAGGTTCAGGAGTTAGAGAGGAGCTGGGCTGCTATACAAGAAAGAGCACTGAAGCAGCCTTCTCCAGGTACTTCTCTGATTGTTTTTCTCATTTTTCGTCATGTATAAAGCCAAGACACTATGATATGTAGCTTATTTTCAGGTAGAACCCAATAGAGATAGTTTTTTGGTTTCATTAGATAGATAGATAGGTAGCCGGGAAAGTTGGATTCACATTATCTGACTGGGAAGGTTTTACATTCACAGCTCAGAGAGAGAAGACACTGGATAAACAACTTCATACTCTAATCGAGCAATTAGCTGCAAAGCAGGTCTATCTCAAGCCAGATCAATCTTGCAGTTTTTTTCCCATTAGAATGTTTCTTAACAGAAACCTTTTGATATGCAGGCTCAAGCAGAGGGGATTGTTGCTGAGATTCGCTCGAATGAGATGGAGTTAGAGAGACTGAACAGTTTGTGGAGAAGAAATGAGAGCTTTAACGTTGAAGGGAACGCTGCAAGGAACAGATTCAAAAGAACAAATTCAGATAGAGGGTTTGGATCAGACCATGAAGTTGATGCTAATTCCTCCTACCTTCCGTATTCATCTGCAACAAGGAATGAGAGTCAAACGAGGCTTATGTATCTCAGGTCAGCTTTTGTCGTCTACATTTTGGCTTTGCAGGTCCTGGTTTTCATCAAGATATCCTTTTGAGGAAATTATGTACACGAGTACGCTGCTTTCTTTTTAGTTTGCGTAATGGAGTCAAAGCGTTGCATATAAATTTTTTTATAGGAATACGATGTTTGTTCTTAAATGAGACTCCTGGAACAACTACAATAATCTTTCATTACAAATTTATTTTCTTGATTTTAGATATTGGTCTCTCTATCTATGCATCTTGACTCTTGAGTGATGGTTCTTTTACTTCTGTGTCACCAATTGTAGCAAAATAGCATTCCAAGTATCATCAATAGGTCCAGGCAGACACCAATGAATACAGTCAATTCTGAAAGTCACCTCTGCATTTTCGAGTATAGCTCTTAGAGTCATTCTATTATTCTTAAACCCTTCTTGCATCCATAGTACAAAGGCAACTCAGTCGTGTTTGGTAAACACAGTATTGGAGATCTAGAGATAACACCAGTGGCGGAATTAAATTTTCCAGAGCTGACTCGTCAGCTTGATGTAATACTCGTGGAGGTTTGAATGGTCAGGTTTAATAGTCTTGACTAGAAGTGGTAACCACATGGCATGAAGAGTGAAGTTAAAGGATGCGTGTAGCTCTAAGATTAGGAGAGGGAGGTCATTACTGATTTGCTAAGTGTCTGAAATTTCGGATCAAAGTGTAACGATCGTCTCTGTTTCTGCCACCGATTATTAAAATTTATAAAACTGAGAAGCAGCAGATATCCAAATTTTTTTTAATCGGGTACCATAAGGAAACAACAAATGTAAAAGTGAAGCATCGAACTGGAGAGTGAACTAGTCATTATTTAAAAAAAAAAAATGGGTAGCTTTAAGATCCCGAAGATTATGCCCCCAAATATAACATTTTGATTGATTTTACTGAAACTTATACATGAACCGGAGTGGGTTGAACCATAATCAAATCATTGAATCGGTTTAATGTCAGAAATTAGTCGAACCGGATTTGTTTTGATAAAAGCCCTAAACCTATCGAGTCCTTTTTATTTTTTCCCGGGTTTTCGCTTTCTCCTCGTTCCACTTTTCAGCTCTCGAAAGTCGAAACAAAACTGTAGCGTTGGGAATCGCGATTCACAGAAACATAAGAGAGTCTAGGTTTTTTTCCCTTATACTACGATTCCGGACTCGAGAAATCCTCGTTCGGCTATCGGTTTCACTCGCTCAGGTCAGTTTGTTCTTCATTTTCACTCACAGGGTTAAGTTGGAGAGAAGGGACACTGATGAGTGCTTATGATTGGGTATTAGAAACCTAGAAATTTAACTAATTCAGCAGATTCTAGCTTTTTGATGATTCAATTTGGGGGTTTAGGGTTAGCTTTTGCATTAGAGACTGATAGAGTGTTTGTAATTGGATACTAGAAACAAGAAATTTTATTTAATTGAGCTTTCGATTATTCAATTTGGGGGTTTAGGGTTAGCTTTTGCATTAGAGACTGATGAGTGTTTGTAATTGGATACTAGAAACTAGAAATTTTATTTAATTGAGCGCTTTCGATTATTCAATTTGGGGGTTTAGGGTTAGCTTTTTGCATTCTCCCTAACTCTTAAACCGTCTCATTATAATTGTATATTTGTAGATTTTAATACGGAAAGTTTAAACCTTTTTCAGGTTAAAGGACCATGTCTGAACGTCGTGCTAAGCGTCTCAAAACTTCCAGAGGAGAAGATGATTTTCTCCCTGGGAACATAATCGAAATCGAGCTTCACAACTTCATGACTTTCAACCACCTTGTTTGCAAACCTGGATCCCGTTTAAACCTCGTGATTGGACCTAATGGATCAGGTAAAAGCTCTCTCGTCTGCGCCATTGCTCTCTGTCTTGGTGGTGAGCCGCAGCTTCTCGGTAGAGCAACTAGTGTTGGCGCTTACGTTAAACGTGGGGAGGATTCTGGTTATGTTAAGATAACTCTCAGAGGGAACACGAGTGAAGAGAAGTTAACGGTTTTTCGGAAGATTGATACGCGTAACAAGTCTGAGTGGATGTTTAATGGGAGCTCTGTTAGTAAGAGAGAGGTTGTTGAGATCATTCAGAAGTTTAATATTCAGGTTAATAATCTCACGCAGTTTTTGCCGCAAGATAGGGTCTGTGAGTTTGCTAAGTTGACACCTGTGCAGCTTTTGGAAGAGACTGAGAAAGCTGTTGGTGATCCTCAGCTTCCTGTTCATCACCGTGACCTTGTTGAGAAGAGCCTTGAATTGAAGCAGCTTGAGAGAGCTGTGGCGAAGAATGGGGAGACGTTGGCTCAGCTTAAGGCTCTTGTTGATGAGCAGGAGAAGGATGTGGAGAGGGTTAAGCAGAGGGAGTTGCTTTTCGCGAAGGTTGATTCCATGAAGAAGAAACTGCCGTGGCTGAAGTATGATAAGAAAAAGTCGGAGTATCAGGCTGCTAAGAAGAAAATGAAGGAAGCGGAGAAGAAACTGGATGAAGCTGCGAGGAATTTGAATAATGTGAAGGAGCCTGTTGAGAAGCAGAAGAAGGAGAGGGGGGAGATGGAGTCAAAATGCAAAAAGGTTAAGAAAGTCCTGGAGACTAATGGGTATAAGCGGTCTGACTTGATTGAGAAAGAGAATGAGGCTGAAGCACGTGTAGTGGCAACATACAAAGAACTTGAGGAGCTGAAGAAACAAGAAGAGCATCGCCAAGAAAGGATTCTGAAAGCTACTGAGGATCTGGCTGCTGCGGAAGAAGAACTCAAAGACCTGCCTGTATATGAACCACCTGTAGCCAAACTTGAAGAGTTGAAGTCGCAGGTTACAGAGCTGCAGCACGACATAAACCGGAAGAAAAATCAGAAGGCTGACAATGAGAGCCTTTTGTCTCAGAAACAACACACACTGTTTCAATGTGTAGATAAGTTGAAAGAGATGGAGAACGCAAATAACAAACTCTTGAATGCGCTACGTAATTCTGGAGCTGACAGGATATATGAAGCATATCAGTGGGTGCAGCAGAATCGTCATGAGTTTAAAAGGGATGTATATGGTCCCGTTTTGATAGAGGTTAATGTTCCAAATCGAGAGAACGCTTGCTATTTGGAAGGTCAGATTCCTTATTATATCTGGAAGTCTTTTATCACTCAGGATTCCGAGGACCGAGATTTGTTGGTTAGGAATTTAAAACGCTTTGATGTTCCTGTTCTAAACTATGTGGGTGATAGGGGCAATCACACGAATCCCTTTCATATCTCTGATCAGATGCGTTCTCTTGGGCTTCATTCTCGGCTTGATCAAATATTTGATGCTCCTGACGCTGTTAAGGAGGTTCTAACTTCCCAGTTTGGTCTGGATGGCTCGTACATTGGATCAAAGATTACTGATCAGAGGGCTGAAGAAGTATCTAAGTTGGGTATCACTGATTTTTGGACACCGGACAATCACTACCGGTGGTCTTCCTCAAGGTATGGTGGTCATACTTCTGCAAGTGTAGATTCTGTACATCAGTCACGTCTTCTATTATGTGGGCTGGACGTTGGAGAACTTGAGAAACTGAGATCAAGAAAGGAGGAGTTAGAAGACTCTATATCATCTATTGAAGAAACTCGGAAGAGTCTTCAAACAGAGCAAAAACTGTTGGAAGAAGAAGCTGCTAAACTTCATAAAGAGAGGGAGGAGATTATTAATGTCTCGCATATGGAGAAGAAAAAACGCCGTGAGTTGGAATCTCGTTACCAACAAAGGAAGAAGAAGCTTGAATCCTTGGAGCAAGAAGAGGACATGGATGCTTCAGTTGCTAAGCTGATTGAGCAGGCTTCTAAAGCTAACACTGATTGCTTTACATACGCGATTAATCTCAAGAATCTGCTGGTAGAAGCTGCTGCTAATAAGTGGAGTTATTCGGAGAAACATATGGCTTTGATTGAATTGGAAGGAAAGATCAGAGAGTCAGAGATCAGTATCAAACAATACGAGAAGATGGCGCAGCAAGCATCCCTGAACGTTGAGTACTGTAAGAAAGAGGTTGAAGAAATGCAAATACAGCTAGCAGGTGCCAAGAGAGATGCAGAGTCTATTGCAATCATCACGCCACAACTTAAAAAGGAGTTTATGGAGATGCCAACCACGATAGAAGAGTTGGAAGCTGCTATACAAGACAACATCTCTCAAGCCAATTCGATTCTCTTTGTAAACCAGAACATACTCCAAGAGTATGAACATCGTCAAAGTCAGATAGAAACTATTTCTACAAAGCTGGAAGCTGATAAAAGAGACTTGAGTAGATGCTTGAAAGAAATCGAATGTCTGAAGGAGAAGTGGCTTCCAACGTTGAGAAGGCTTGTTGCTCAAATAAACGAAACTTTCAGCCATAACTTCCAAGAAATGGCTGTTGCAGGAGAAGTTTCATTGGATGAGCGTGACACTGACTTTGATCAATACGGGATACATATCAAAGTGAAGTTCAGGGAATCTGGGCAACTTCAGGTTCTAAGTTCTCACCATCAGTCTGGAGGAGAGCGCTCTGTCTCAACTATCCTCTACCTTGTCTCTCTTCAAGATCTCACAAACTGTCCTTTCAGAGTTGTTGATGAGATTAATCAAGGTAAAAAATGTGAAGCTTTATGAAAAAAAAAACTGTCTACAAAACATCATAAAAGTTTCTAAAAATCTGTAATGGTTTTCTGCAGGTATGGATCCTATAAACGAAAGGAAGATGTTTCAACAGCTGGTTAGAGCTGCGAGTCAACCAAATACACCACAGTAAGTTTTCCTGCTCTAGGAATCTGTTCTCTTGTTGCTTGCGTGTGTACTCTCTCTCGTTTCTGGAATTTATGTTTAAAAGTAAGAAACAATGTGTGTGGTGGTTAGAGATGTCAAATGGGCGGGTTGTCCATGGACGGTCCGTGTCCAAATTGATATGGACTAATATGTACATGCCCATTTTAGACCAAATTTAAATGGGTTTAAATGGGTGAAGCCCAATTGCACCATGGACAAAACCGGGTTTGACCATCCGGACGTTGGGCCGCCCAAATAACTAAAATATTTAGGTTTAAGGAATAACTAAAAAATTATAATTTTATTTTGTCTTGTTAAAATCACTAAATCAATATATTTTTTGTTAAAATTTTATTTTGTCCTTGCAGGTGCTTCTTACTGACACCTAAGCTCTTACCTGAGCTTGAATACAGTGAAGCATGTAGCATACTGAACATCATGAACGGTCCTTGGATAGAGCAGCCTTCACAAGTTTGGAGCTTTGGTGATAGTTGGGGCAATCTCATGAGACGTACCGAAGCAACAACTTAATGCTCTTGACTTCCCGAAAACAGCATCATCTTTCTATTTTGTTTTTTTTTTGTTTTGGAAAAACCAGAAGAGGTTCACGTTCTCTTCACCTGTCTGTTTCTTGTGAGTAACGAAACCTAACCTCTCGTCTCGAACACTACACGTTTCGATTAGTAGACGTGTCGTTTAATGATTGGCTAATATATATAGTTGTTTCACTTTGATAGCAATTTCTGTGGCTTAAATGATTTAAAATTGTTTAATTACTTATTTGACTAAGATAATTACTTCAAATACCGCTGTTAATTTTTGGGTGGTCAGGAAACTTTGTAGATTTGTTTTGTTAAATTTTTTAAAAATCTGAACTAATTAAATTTCTTGACAATAATAGCTGATTTGTTGCTCTTTATAGTTGCGTGGCCAAGAATAGTCGCGAATCTCGCACTTATACCACAAGATTTGTTGGTAACCACAAAAAGAAAACGTAAGGGGTCTTTTAGTAAATTACCCTTGCCCTAATAGCCGCACAACGTTTCTAGGGTAGAGGCTATATAAAGAACTCTCCTCCCAACCTTGTATTCTACTTAACAAATCACAAACTCGTTTTCTTTTCATATTAGGGTTTTCGAGTTTTTTTAAGCACCTGAATTAGGTTACTTTCTTAGCTTTTAACAGATCTGTTTCATTTTTTCACTCGTGGATTAATGTATTGTTGATCTTCTCATTTCCTCTGGAGATTTACTAGCTTTTTTTTCCGTTTGATTATATGTATCTGACCTTTTGTTTTTCATCTCAGGTTTCGATCGTTTGATATCTTTGGATAAAGTGTTTTCTGGTATTACGAGATTAAAAAAAAAACTCCAGATCGTAATCAACAATTCCTATACATGTAAGTCTTTAACAAAAAAAAAAACACATTTCGTGTTATGTTGTATTTATTTAATAAGTCATGCGTATCATATCAGATCATTGGTATTAGCAATCATTCATTGTGTGACACAGATCTAATGAAATAATTTTATAACGTGTGAATGATATCTAACGTAGAAGATCTCAACATTTGTTGTTTAGCTGAATCATAACCCATTCATGGAAACACATTTGTTTGACGTGCAAGAAACATTAAATGTTTTATGTGTTTATTACAATGTTCTAGCCGCGCAACACCTTGGATTATGATTATCTCTAACCTTTACTTTTGTTTTTTTTCTCTAATACAGAAGAGAGCGTGAATGAGATTATGATGGAATCGAAAGCTGGTAATAACAAATCTAAAAGTTCTTTATTTTACGAAGCTCCCCTCGGTTACAGCATTGAAGACGTTCGTCCCTTTGGTGGCATCAAGAAATTTAAATCTTCTGTCTACTCCAACGTTAGTTCCTTTCTTACACCAACATGTTCTTATTACATTCTTCATTTCTCTTAACCTTTTGTAATCTTAATACCAATATTTTCTTTGCAGTGCGCTAAGAAGCCATCCTAGTCAACTAGAACAATCCTCATAGTTTTAACTTGCTTTCCTATTTAAAAAATCATTACAATGTCAGTCTCTGCCATAGGGTTCGAAGGCTACGAGAAGCGTCTTGAATTAACCTTCTTTAAACCAAGTATCTTCCTCGACACGCAAGGGTTAGGTCTCCGTGCCTTAACCAACTCTCAGATCGACGAGATCCTCAAACCAGCTGAGTGTACCATCGTTTCATCACTCTCCAACGATCATCTCGACTCTTACGTCCTCTCCGAGTCAAGCCTCTTTATCTTCCCTTACAAGATCATCATCAAGACTTGTGGAACTACAAAGCTCCTCCTCTCTATCAAACCACTCTTGAGGTTAGCTTGCTCTCTCTCTCTTGACGTTGAGTCCGTGAGGTACACTCGTGGAAGCTTCCTTTCCCCTGGAGGACAGCCTTTCCCTCACCGTAACTTCTCTGAAGAAGTTTCTGTCCTCGATGGTCATTTCACCAAGCTAGGTTTAAGCAGTGTTGGTTACTTGATTGGTGATGATGATGAAACCAAGAAATGGCACGTGTACTCTGCTTCTTCTGACGCCAAGAACGTGAATAAGAAGAATGTATACACGTTGGAGATGTGTATGACTGGTTTGGATAAAGACAAGGCATCTATGTTCTACAAGAACGTATCAAGTTCCATGACTGATACCTCTGGCATCAGAAAGATACTTCCTCAATCCCAAATCTGTGACTTTGAGTTTGAGCCATGCGGTTACTCTATGAACAGTGTTGAAGGTGAGGCCATCTCTACTATCCATGTCACACCTGAAGAAGGGTTCAGCTACGCTAGCTTTGAGGCAGTTGGATATGATTTCACAAACATGGACTTGAGCTTTCTTGTCTCTAAGGTTCTAACGTGTTTTGAACCAAAGCAGTTCTCAGTAGCTATACACTCTAGCATCGCACATAAGAGTAGTCTATGTGTAGAGTTGGAGGATTATGGATGTAGAGAGACGACTATGGAGTCTCTAGGTGAAGAGAGAGGGATAGTGATGTATCAGAGGTTTGAGAAGATGGGAATGTATTGTGGTTCTCCGAGGTCTACGTTGAAGTGTGAGTGGAGTAGTAACAGTAGCTGCATTAGTGAGGACGAGAAGGAAGAGGGAGTGGAGTAGTAATTTCTTTACTCCTTCAACCAGTAATTGTGTTTTGGTCTATGTGAAATCGAATATTATGAAATATCTATTATTATGATCATTTTTGGTGATTTAACACATTCTATAATTTCATTCGCATAGTTCTACAAGAACCCAAGAGCAAGAATCCTCCTCCCAATAAGGTTGTTCTAAGTTAGGTTTCAAAAAAGTACTCCCTCTATTTCTAAAATATAGACTTTCTAGTATTTTCACACATAAGAAAACACATTAAATTACTATCGTTTTTAGTAATTTTCAATTTTCAACAATTTTTAGCCAATAGTAATCTAATAAAACCAATTAATTTTTTTGAAACTTATAATTTTCTCATAGAAAACATAGAATATACATCTTTTTGAAACAAAATATTTTTCTAGATCTTTTAGGAACAGAGGGAGTACTTATTAATACAGTTTTCAAAAATAGCTACACATTTGAACTTATAAAAGTCTAATTATGTATGTTTAGTTGAGTTGGAACTTGAATACTTGTTAATACAGTTTTTAAAAATAGCCACACAATTGACTTGTAAATGATGTTGCAAAACCCAAGACTTTTGTTACACAACTTCATGGGCCTGAGATATTTAGATACCAAAACCAAGTCCAAAGAGCACACGAGATTCCTATGCTAGTTTCCGTTCTCTTTGTTCTTTTGTGATTATTGATAGAGAAACAGGACCACAGCCACATTCAAATTATAGTACTAGCCTTGTCACGTTCTATATCGAATTATATTTGTTCTTATAGATAGATCACAATCTTGATATTCATATGTAAATGTTTCAAAACTTGGAGCGTCTTCATTCCCTTTGTCGATAGCATCATCTCTGCAAAGTCATTTTGATTTTTTCTTCAGAAGAGGGTGGAGAAGTAAAAGGACTGAACGAGGAGGAACAGATCGGCCAGAGAGCGACCTAGCAACGAAAGAAAGAAAGAAGACAAGCTTAGATTGATGTTATTACATGAAATGAGACATAAGAGTGGGAAGAAAGAAAGAAAGAAAGAGAATAGATGTGTCATCATTTCTTTATGATTAGTTGCTATTTTGAAAAAGGGGACCATTTCAAACCCTTGGATCCATCCGGTGAGTTTCTTGTTTTTGAAGCAAAGCTTGTGATCCTGTATTTTTTTTTTTTTTTGTTAGAAGAAAGATAAAGAAGGATAAAGCAGGTATCACATTCCTACGAAGAGACAAAGTTTCCATCATTTTCCAGGGAAAAGCTAAAAAGAATTTTAAAAGATGAAAGAAAACAACTCTGTAAGCACTAAGCACGATTAGTCTGCTGTTTGGGACCGATAATGTACCAATGAGGTAAAATTTAAAATCTGGATTCCTCAGCATCCGATGATGTATTCCGGCCAATAACGTAAGCTATATGTACGTACAATCTCCGTTAGTTTGGATCTACATTAGTGGATGCCAAGATATACCGAGTTATTCAGAAAAGAAAAAAAAATGTAAAATCAAATATTTACGCATGTATCAAGTCAATTTTTTAGTTTTATTATTTACACTTGATCTGGATGAGCTATATTCGTGTATAGTTTGATTAGGTTGAAAAACTTTTGAACATTGTATTTTCTATTTTAATAAACCACACATTAAAGCTCAACTAATGCATGATTTGATGTAATAATCACATGGATAAGGGAAATGATGCGAGTTGCTTCGAAGATTCACTCATGGACCGACAAGACATGGTTATAGTCATTCTTTTTTTTTCTTTTTGCCATTTTTTTATAATCATTCTATTCCAATAAACCATGCAAGATCCAATTATTGATAATTTTATCCAAATAGAACCCAACTAATTTCAAAATTTTCATGATTTCAACGGTTCTAAGAAACAATATGATTTTAACTTGTTTGTTGTTGTCTACTTGTAAAGATTTGATAATAGTACTATCATCTTATTAGCTATTCAATTCGCAACACTACTCATCAAGTACTAAGTGTTAACTTTTCATGGTCATAGACCTTAGATCATTTCCATCCATTAGAGACCCCACTAGAGACTCTAATGGGTTCTTCAAATTAAATTGGTGGTTTATCAAAAAAAAATTAAATTAGTGATTATTTTTGTGATTTGATAATTTTAGAACATTTGTTAATTTATTTATTTTTTCATCTTCTATTGGGAGAACTTCATTGAGGTTCTTAAAAATTATTTTTTTAAGTTAAATGATTTGAAAAAAGGATACATAACTTTTTTTTATTAAAAATGACATAAAAACGTATTAAAAATACAAATACAAATCGTAAACAAAAAAAAAACGATTAGTTGTTATCTTGATTTGTTCCAAATTTTTGTCATATATTCTTAACTAAATCTACTTTCAGTTGTTGATGTATTGTTTTATCATGTCTAAGGATATAAAACCTCTCATGAGTTCTTAAGAGAGAAAAAGAGAAAGACACACAAAATGAACCAATAAGAAAATGACACGTAAGGGATTCTTACCAATTCTAAAAACTATATTTTAAGAATCGATTCTTAATTTTTTTTTTTGCTTTTTTTTTTTAAAGAACCCCTCTTTAAGAACCTTCGATGGAGGTGCTCTTAGTAGTCTACGTTTTTCATTAACCCATTTTCAAATATTATTTTTCGATTAACCCATAATTAAGTAAATCATTTTATGTAATTAAGCTAGTATTTAAAGACCAAAATCAAGTTCAAACACTTCGATAATATAGAATCACATTTTAACTTGGAACTTGATGATAATTAGGTGAGCTAAAAAGACAAATACAAAACTATAAGGGAGTAGGAAACAAAGTCTTGGACAATGGGGTCATTGGGTGTGTAGTATATACATTGCCAAGCGTACATATGCATTGTAGTGTCTGTTAATCGTAGAAACGGTTTTGAATCTTCATACTCGAATTAAATTACTTAAAACCCCAAAGTAAAATGATTTACTATTGTTTTTTTGTATTGCCCCCATCTTTATCTAGACAGACGTAACCAGACTTGTTTCTTCTTAATATGAATCTTGACTCGTTTATGAGAAACCGTCACGTGGTATTTTCAGTAAACACAAGAAAAGGTGTAGTAAAACTCAGTCTCTACTTTAAAGTTCAAACCAATGGAGAGGTGAGCAATCAATCATGTACGTCTTGTTTTAATCTATACATATCTTTTTGTTGTGACCAACAAATTTTGTAGCAAATTTACAAAAAAAAAACTATAAGTAAATTGTGAGTTTTACAATACGTCGTCGGCCAATAATCTAATATAATGTCATCAAATACTATTCACTTAACATTATTGAAGCTGTGACAGTTTAGCTCCACCACAGCAGGCATAGATCTCAAGTTGGGAATCATATTTCTCTATCAGCATTCTGCACAATCTTTCATGTCATGTTTTGTAATCTTATACTACTACAGTATTTATGTTTCTTACTTTTGTTTCCTCTGAAATTCACAGAACCCATTTTACATCAAACGTCAAATCGACCAGAAAGGCATTAAACATTAATGATTGTCTCATAAATCGAGTTTTAAGAAATCGTGTCACGAGTACCAAACTATAAAAACCTTGACCAGGAATGATGCTTTGGAAAGTAATTCTTTTTAGGGTGAATTTGCTGAATATACCAAAAAAAGAAGTTATTTAGGAATTTGCCTTAATTTAGGGGGAAAAAATAATAATGTGGGAAAGAGAGAGAAGGGGAAAATAGTGTATGAAGTTAAATAGGAGGTTTTGTGTGTATATGGAGTGGAAAGTAATTCTTTTTACCACAAAAATGAGAATATTTTTTGTTTTGTTTATTTCTATTTAGATTTCTGGTTGCGGTATATATCTATGAAGATAACCATGATGTAAGAATGTTTCAAAAAAAAACCATGATGTAAGAATGTTATACTTAAATATACAGAACGTTGCAAAACGTTGTTATGTATGCTACAATTTTTTTTTAAAAATACACTTCACTATTTGAACAACATTGTTTTGTCAATCGACATTAGGAACTAAAATATGTTATGTTTAGCAAAAAAAAAAAAAAGACTAACTGATTCTTGATACGAGGTACAAAAAAAAAAAAAAAAAATTTGTAGGTGTTGGAATTTCTAAATTGATGTACATCATGAAAGTTTTTTTTTAAAGAGTATGTGTTCATCTCTATTTATTAGTATAGTATTTTTTATTTGAACCAAAGTTTAAGCCTGAATAGATTTATCTTTTAATTTTTGAAGTTATAGAAGACTAGGCTAGTATCAAAGTTGCTAGTACATACTCCTATAAATTTTGACATCACCCCCGATAGAACCATGAGATTGTTTTAGAATTTCATTAAAGTTGCAGTTTTCTATATACACATAATTGTAAAGATTGAATGTATTTTTATTGTAAAATTAGTATAATCGGTTCTATTGAAACACTATTATAGTAAAATAGTGTTTTTAAGTTTTGATGATCTTAAGAAACAATATAATAATAACATTAATTTTATAAGATTCAAATAAATAATTTGATTTAACCTCACATATAGTATATATTTTCAACAAATGCAAATGCTTGTCATAATAGAACTTTGCCAAAAAAAAAAAACTTTGCCAACTCACACACGACAAAACCTAGTGAAAACGACAAGTAGTTTGGACAAAATATAAGGCTAAATTTTCAATGTCTTGTACTTGGATTCTAGGTTATACAGTATCATATACATACACACATCTAACACTATTAAAAGTCACTAATAAAGCTCTCTCAATATGTCCACGTTGACATTTATATTCAACCAATAATAAGCTTCCAATTATCCACGTCAGCTTCGGTTAAACCCGGTTTGGTTTTTGGTCGGAAATTCTAATCTGATTTTAGGTGCAGAGAAATCTATGTGCTCTCTCACCTTTCGAGTTCCTGAGCTTCGATTACTTCTCTTCCGTTTTTCCCAGAAATCTAACTCACTCTCTGTTTTAATCAATACTTGACTTCATTCTAATCAATCCGTAGCTTTCTCTCATTTAATGGGATTCCTTCTTTCACCATCCTCTGAATCAGATCAGCGATAATATATTTCCCTGGTGATAAGTTTATTTATTCAGCGTTTTTGGATTTTGTATATATGTTATTTGATGATCGTCTTTGTATCTTTGATATTGAAATGAATCGAATTGATTAATTATCGTTTTGTTCTCTTTAGGGAAAGACTTTTATGAACAGAGCTCGCAGATACAGCAGCCTTGCTGCTTCTCTAGAAGGCACCATTACTCCACCTGTGAAAGTCCAGCACACTCAGCTCCTAATCAACGGAAAGTTCATTGATTCTGCCTCAGGTCAGATTCTTGAATTGTCCAAAACTCGTGATTACAATGCATATATCGGTTTCCGTTTATTACAGTTACACTGAGTGATGTTACAGGAAAAAAATTCCCTACTTTGGATCCAAGAACTGGGGAAGTGATCGCTCAGGTAGCTGAAGGTGATGTAGAAGACGTGAACCGTGCTGTTGTAGCCGCGCGCAAGGCCTTTGATGAGGGTCCATGGTCTAGAATGACTGCTTATGTAATATAATTTTTTTGTTTAAACATCTATTTTGTTTTGAAAGTAACTCTCTCATGTTTGATTCATTTTCTTCAGGAGAGATCAAAGATATGACTTATACAGGTGGAGATTACAAGACATTGATTTTTGTTCAGATTAGCCCAAGCTCCGCTGATCAAGGAGAGATGCTTTGCTCCTTAAACTTCGCAAGCAGAGTTCGCGGAATCGAAGGTGGACCTGCTAGGAAACAGGCGGATGTGTCTATCCACCTGAACTCCTCAAGCTAAAACAAATGGTAACATGACTCCTTTGCACTCATATCATCTAAGCTTTAAACATATCTAAATCTGAATCTCTTTTAATTGTCTCCTTTATAAACAGACAGAGAAGCTGAAACAGGAGTAAAAAGAAACGAATAAGCTGCAAGACAATGTGCAGTCACTACAGCTACGCCTCACTGATAGAGAACATATATGCAAAGGACTTCAAGATAAGGTAGTCCGCTTTAACTAATAGGTTTGATGTATTTACTGTTCTATATTCTTCTAAGTTGTAAATCATGTTTTGGGTTCGTGATCTGGAATTTGAACTAGGAGAGGAAAGGAAGACCAGAATCAAGCAGGAGACACGAGTTCTAGCGACTGCATCATCATCATCGTCAACATCTACACAACTACCGACAATCACAGAGAAAAAGCCACCTTTGGCTCCCACAAGATCAATGCGAATGCAACTCAGAAGTATCACAAACTTCATGCCGCAACAACCATCTCAGCTTCCTACAAAGAGATTCTCAGACACAACAAGCAAAGAGAATAATAATTCTAATAACAGCTTCAGAAGATCATCTGTGGACATCAACACACTAATGAAACCAAGAAGAAGCTCCATCCCATTCAGACCAGCTCCTCCTCCATTAGCCATTGCATCATGTAATAACAATAAAACACTCCAGGCGAGAAGGAGAGTTTGTATTGCATTTGCGACGTTGAAACCAGAACCATCATTGTCTTACATGAACATGACCACTCTATCATGCCCTGCGTTCCGTGGTGGTGGTGGTGATCCGAGAAGGGGGAGATACTCTAAGTTCTTCTCTCCAGACCACAATTTTACGACTCCAAAGCAATGAAAGGTAGCAGATTCAAGAAGAGCCCTGTTGGTGGAGGAGAAGGAGCTTGTGGAAGCCGAGCCATCCCACGGTGGTTGCATTGCAGAAGAAGGCTGTGGTGTGGAGTCCGCTTAAGTTCAAGAACAGAAAACCATATTTTATGGCGATGGAGCTTCTTCTTCTGCTATCGATTTGGTCAGGAGGGAGCAGTAGTGATCTTTTTTATTCAGTGTCTTTGTGAAAGTGTTCGTTTTACATTCATGTTGTTCTCACACTATAATATTTTTGAAATCTGACAAAAAGCATCCGACAAACAAAATAAAATGAGTGTAAAGGATTTTTTTCACCTATATATTTTTCTTCTCATTTTCATTTTTGTTTATTTTTTTAATTCAAATAGTTTGATTTATTATTATTATCCAGATGTTTACGAAATAAAATACTTTTAGAACATGAACATTGATATACCCCAGTAAATATCTCATTGTTGCAAATATTAGTAGTTTATTATAATTCTCTTTGTAAATATACTTTAAAAGAGATAAAAATGATGAACAAATTAGTAACCAAACACATGTTAGAAAAATATCTAATTTTTTTTTTGTTTGATAGCTTTGTACTACTGAATCCCATTCTTCTTCTTTTCACACTTTTTTTTTATTTTCTTTCCATATTTTTTATTTTTTTTTCTGATATTTTTAATACCTAGATACTTTGATAGAGACTATCAATAAAATTGCTTTTAGAGAGTTGGTTATGGTGAAATGTGAGTCGCTTCAAAATATTTACAAGAATTGACACTTAGTGTTATTTTAACAGGGTCGACTTTGAAATTTTAGGGAGACATAACGATTTATGAAATATTTGAATTATATTTATTGTTTATAAATTTGAGAGTCTTAAAAAAAAAATTTTGGACTTTTTGTACATGTAGTTTTTTTCCAAAAATTTTAGTGGCCTAAAATGAATGTTTCTTTAAGCTTGACTTAAGATTGGCCCTTGACTTATTGACAAGTGTAATAATAATCTCTCATTAAGAGATTGTAGTTTATTTTCAGATTTTTGATTAGATTTAATTGTTTTAATGGTAAAAAATCATGTGAAACGTTATGAGTATTGAATACAGTTGTCAGGTATTATAATTAAGTAGCAAAACAGTAAAATCCTCAAAATAAACATGAGCAAACAATAGTGATTAACTAATATGCTTATGTTTAGTTGTTTACATTCATGTTGGATTTGAAAATATCATAATTATGGAGAGGGTATAAGTGATATACAATGTTCATAAACCAAAAATGAACATTAAATCATACTATTCATGAATTACCGGATCAATGGTTTGGTCGCAGATGAACCGTGCGTAAATAAAATTAATTTTACTGTAATTTTGTACATATATCTAGAAAAATTCACACTGTAAAAAATATAGTAAAATATATAAATTTTATTTTTATTTCTATTTCACATACAAAGTATCGAAGAAGTAATTTAAAACTATTGAAATATGTTTGTAACAAGTTAGCAATTAAGAAAAATAATAAAATATAAAAATATTAATATTAGTAATTATTTAAATGTATAGGGTGAATATGAAAAAAATTTGAATCCAAAATAAACCAGAAAAAATATAAAAATTATAATATACTATCTATGACAAAAAATATATGTATATAAAATTACATCAATTAATTTTGGTTATATTCATCTGAAATCACTTCATTTTTATATGCATAGTAACTGTTTCATTAAAAGCTAAAGAATCACAAATCGAATAAATTAGTGAGTATTATATAAGACTAAAAATAAAATAAAAAAATCAAGTAATTAAAAAACTAATAAAAATCACACATCAGTTCAACACATAGTTGAGTCCTATGTTTTAACAAATTTTGCGAGGTTTAAATAACGATCTTTGAGAAAACCCAAAATAGATTATATATCGAATCATCCGATTTAACGGTTCGGTCACGGATACATATCAAATTTAAAAACATAGGTTCCATGATATGTTTATAAAGAAATAATATTTTTTTACCATTTGTATTAATATTAAAATTGTTTCAAATTTGTATAAACATTTTCTTCCAATTTCAGCTAACCTTTCTGTTTACCAAATTGTCTTTTCAATTTAAAATTTCATTACATCCACATCAATAGATATTTTCTTCATGTGTGTTGATCTTCTAATATTAAATATAGCTTCAAAGCTCTTTTGGACTAATGAATAACAAAAGAATCCTTAATACAGTTTTTATACTAAAAATTTACAGAAAACATTATTTCTACATATTAATTAAACGAAATTTTATAGAAATTAAAATAGTGACAAACTTATTAGATATAATCCGCGCGTAGCGCGGACAAAATCTCTAGTATATATAATATTATAGCTAGCTCTTAGTGGGATTTATCGAATATATTTATTTTCCAATGCAAGGCCAAAGTTCCGCACAAATAAAAGAAAACTCAGCAAAGACTGTAAATTGAATTTATATATAGAAAACTGCTTGTGCTATTATTAGTTTATGAATGTACTTTTCCCTTATTTAAAAAAAAAATGTGAATGTAGTTTTCTTTAGTTACAATTAATTACAAATCTTAAGTTAAAAAGAGTCTTATATTATATGAGCTTGTTGCAAAATGATGAATACTAACAATTGTCGCACTAAAAGAATATGTAATAAAATTACAACATATTGAATTTCTTACCCAACAATATATTGATGTCTAATAACTTCGTACACATCGAGAAGACAAAGCTACTGAATATTGAGTGGGCAAATCACCATGCAGTATAAAATTTCTTGAGCCTAGTTTCCCTTTCTTTCATAGACTCCTCGAAGTTCTCACATTCTCAAAGCATATAATGTTAAAAAGTTTGAGTACATGTAAAAAATTGGCAAAAAGTGTACATGTAAAAATAGTATGGCTGTGATTGGTGCTAACTGAATAAATTGGTAGGAAAATAAAAGTGAAAAATGGAGGTAAGAGAAAAACAAAATTCAAATTTTCTCTATTTTTGCGTTTATGGCTGAAAACAAATTTTACGTTAACAATGGAGTAACTCACCAGATATGTTATTTACTCTATTTTGGCGATGTTTTTTCAACCACACTCCATATAGAGGTAGCCATATAGTTTAGGTAAAGAACTAAAGATATAATATACATCTTGTTTTCCTAAATATAATATAATATGGAGTACATGTTTAACAAGAATATAGTTTAGCTGTGCATGGCCATGAGCTATGTAAGTGTTATATTGGATTCCCTTCTACCAAGCAAAAGCAATCAGCCATCCATATGTATTTGTTTTGTTTTAACATGCCTTGAATCCCAATAACTTTTCCATCAAAAATATATACTGTAAATACATGTGAGATAAATATATAAATTAAAAGAAAAATTGCGAAATAAATATATTAAAATAAAACAAGAAACCATAGACTGATAGACAATAACATGACAGAGTGCATGGCAGCTAGCAAAAGAAAAATATTATAATTTCCTGCTTTATATTCAGATTAGATTTGCTCTACTAACTATCCTTGTCCATTACAAAAATATGGGCAAATATTAATATTCTTTTACATCTTTAACATAATTTTTTAACCTCTTTTAACGGTCTCCCCACACACACAAGCTTTGTCGACAAGCATGCTATGAACTTCACTTTAGACTACCAATGAATCTGGTATTTCTTTTCCTTATATTTTTCATTTCTGACACATAAAGATAATAATTCTTTTCAATAAAGATTATGCTTTTTGGTGAAGTGGGTTCTTCTGCCATAGAAAGCAATTTTTTTCTTGATGTTTTTTTTTAAATATAAAGATTTGGTTTTTGATTCTTACTATTTTTTCTCTCTCTGGTCTCTATCCATCAAAACCAAATTATCTGGAAACTGAGTACATCTTGTTTTCTGCTCATTCCTTTCTCTCTCTCTTTCAACGATGAAGAGTAGTACTCTAGTTATGATGATGAGAAGATCTTTAGTTTATCTCTTGGGACTTTCATGCCTTCTCACCTCTGTAAACGGTTTACTTTCTTCTAATGGAGTTAACTTTGAAGGTAACTTAGTCTCACTTCTTAGCAACAAAATTTCCAGTTTTCTAGTTTTTTTTTATTCTCCTCACTTTTGTCTTTCTTGATCCAAACTAATGTGGCAAATGATTTTTTTTCTCTAGTGCAAGCTTTAATGGACATAAAAGCTTCATTACATGATCCTCATGGTGTTCTTGATAGCTGGGATAGAGATGCTGTTGACCCATGTAGTTGGACAATGGTCACTTGTTCTTCAGAAAACTTTGTTATTGGCTTGTAAGTTTCAAATTCACATTAACACATTCATTATATTATATTGATGAGTGAGCAAACTCATGTACTTGAATTTTATTACAGGGGCACACCTAGTCAGAACTTATCTGGTACATTATCTCCAAGCATTACCAACTTAACAAATCTTCAGATCGTGTGAGTACTCATGCTTAATAAAAGTTTGTATGTGTATGTGTATGTGTATGTGTGTGTGTGTTCTTGATGTTTTTTTTATTTCTTGTAGACTGTTGCAGAACAACAACATAACAGGAAAAATTCCTTCTGAGATTGGTCGGCTCACAAGGCTTGAGACTCTTGATCTCTCTGATAATTTCTTCCACGGTGAAATTCCATCTTCATTAGGCCATCTTACAAGCTTGCAATACATGTAAGAACATAATAAAAACTCGTTTATGTTAATCTTAAATTGTTAATTTACTGTAAGGTCGTTTAAGATCTTGATATGTCATATTGTGTATCATCAGGAGGCTTAATAACAACTCTCTCTCTGGAATAATTCCTCTGTCACTATCCAACATGACTCAGCTTGCCTTACTGTAAGCTAAACTAATCTTCAGTTCACATTAACCTGTAATTAATTAAGTAATAATTAGAGACATGTTTATATAGTGTTGAGGTTTGATCTGTTTTATGTTTAATCAGTGATTTATCATACAACAATCTTAGTGCTCCAGTTCCAAGATTTGCTGCAAAGACCTTTAGGTGATTGATTCTTTCTCAGTCTCTCTCACTCTCTCAATAGCTTTGTTCAACTTTAATTGTTTAACTTTTGATTTACAGCATCGTTGGGAACCCACTTATTTGTCCCACGGGTAAGGAACCAGACTGCAATGGAACTACACTGATACCAATGTCTATGAACTTGAATGATACTGGAGGTAACTAACTAACTAGCTACTTGAAATAAACTTAATCTATGCTGATCTTTGATAATACCTAACCAACAACTACTTTCTCTTTTTAAGCTCCTTTATACACCAGTAGATCCAAGAATCACAAAATGGCCATAGCTGTAGGAGCTAGCGTGGGGATTCTATCAATGATCTTCATTGCTGTTGGTTTGTTTCTATGGTGGAGACAAAGACATAACGAAAACACATTCTTTGATGTTAAAGGTTTGATACTTCTTTGTTTCTTACTTGCATACAACATTCTTACAAGAATCATCTGTAAGAAAGTTTCTTTGTAATGTTATCATCAGATGGGCATTACCATGAGGAAGTTTCACTAGGAAACTTGAGGAGGTTCGGTTTCAGGGAGCTTCAGATTGCAACAAATAACTTCAGCAGTAAGAACTTATTAGGGAAAGGTGGCTATGGGAATGTTTACAAAGGAATACTTGGAGACAGCACTGTAGTTGCAGTGAAGAGGCTTAAAGATGGGAATGCATTAGGAGGAGAGATTCAGTTTCAGACAGAAGTAGAAATGATCAGTTTAGCTGTTCACAGAAACCTCTTAAGACTCTATGGCTTCTGCATCACGCAAGCTGAGAAGCTTCTTGTTTATCCTTACATGTCTAATGGAAGTGTAGCATCTAGAATGAAAGCTAAACCGGTTCTTGATTGGAGCATTAGGAAGAAGATAGCTATAGGAGCTGCAAGAGGGCTTGTGTATCTCCATGAGCAATGTGATCCCAAGATTATCCACCGTGATGTCAAGGCAGCTAATATACTTCTTGATGATGACTGTGAAGCTGTGGTTGGTGATTTCGGTTTGGCTAAACTCTTGGATCATCAAGATTCTCATGTCACAACTGCCGTGAGAGGCACGGTAGGTCACATTGCTCCTGAGTATCTCTCAACTGGTCAGTCCTCTGAGAAAACCGATGTTTTCGGGTTTGGGATTCTACTTCTTGAGCTTGTAACGGGTCAAAGAGCTCTTGAGTTTGGTAAAGCGGCTAACCAGAAAGGTGCTATGCTTGAGTGGGTTAAGAAGATACATCAAGAGAAGAATCTTGAGGTGCTTGTGGATAAAGAGTTGCTGAAGAAGAAGAGCTATGATGAGATTGAGTTAGAGGAAATGGTGAGAGTAGCTTTGTTGTGTACACAGTATTTGCCTGGACATAGACCTAAAATGTCTGAAGTTGTTAGAATGCTGGAAGGAGATGGACTTGCAGAGAGATGGGAAGCTTCTCAAAGATCAGACAGCGGTTCGAAGTATAGCAACAATAGGGTCAATGACTTGATGTCGTCATCTTCAGATAGATACTCTGATCTTACTGATGACTCTACTTTACTTGCGCAAGCCATGGAACTCTCTGGTCCGAGATGAAACATGTTTAATCAACATGTTTCTGTTTATTGAATCTTGAAGGATTCTTGTTCCTTTTTGTTGTTGTATAATATAGAGTTTTTTTTGGGGAATGTTGTGTCGTTGTAATTGTATAGGCTTGTCATGTAAGAAGTTTTCTTTTTACTGTACTTGAGAGTTAAGAGTAAATCATAGTTTCTACTTTCTAAAGTGTAGTTTCTTAGACATGATGTTTGGAATTTGGGAGTTTCGAATCTGATAATGCAGTTTATTATTATATTTATATTACATAGTTTTTTTGTTCTAATTAATAGCTCCATTTCAAATTGAAATTCTAAACAGCTTAGTTAACAAAGAAGGAACTTTAGAAGAATCTTGCACACAAGATGTCAAACCCTAGATGGAAAGATATACACAGAAGGAAGACAAATATGGAAATAAATAAAAAACACAAGGAAAGTTTTCATTCTATAAAATATCAGTTCTTGGTTTAGCTATTAAAAAATATAATATTTATTTTTATTTAATTTATATAAAGATAAAAAAAAGAAGTAAACCAGTAGAAAATCCTACATCATAAACAAAATAATTGTTATCTTTTAAAAAAAAATTATTTTGTAACAAAAAAGTTATAAAACCAAGCTTTACAAGATGGTAATTCAGTGTGGCCACTTGGATTATTTAACACGAAAAAAATACATTTATATACCCTATTTTGTGTGCGAACAAATTTACATATATATATAGTGTGGCCACTTGGATTATTTAACACGAAAAAAATACATTTATATACCCTATTTTGTGTGCGAACAAATTTACATATATATATATATATATATATATTATAAAACCAAGCTTCTTCTTCTTCTTCTTCTTCTTCTTCTTCTTCTTCTTCTTATAGACAACTGAGAAAGCAATCATCAGGAAAGAAAAACATATCGAAGAAGAAAGCTGATGATGACGAAGAAGTCA